TGTGTGTGTGTGTGTTTGGTCCTTCTGTGAGCAGCCTGATAAAAGCCTTGGAACGAGTCTCACCTTAAGGGCCACTCAGGCTCTCTCCCCCTAGAGCATTGGGCAGAACCCTAACCCACAGAAGACGGGTGGGGCAGAGCACAGGATGCTCTTGCTGTGCCATCTTCTGCTGCTGCTGAAGCGGCATGAGGTTGGAGTTCTGCTCTTGCGTCTTTAGAACTGATGCTTGCTTTGCTGCTTTTACTGGTCCACTAGTTATTTCTGTAAGCTACACAATTACAGCTGAGACAGATTTTTCAACTGCTTTTCTAAATTCAGCATGTGAAAGTAAGATCTGACAAAGAAACAGAACCACCGTGTGAGCAGTTTAGGCTTTTAAAAATTGTGCAGCAAGCACCTCAGCTACACTCTGGGAGTGAGAATGGTAGGAAGTGCACTGCCTATAAGGGACAAGACTAAAGTTCTGCTGTATAAACTTTAAGGTGTTTCACTCTACATTTATTTTGGAGTAGGGCTTCAATGTTTTAGTCAATTGAAGTGGTGAGATCAGTTAGTTAAAAGTCTTTTGGCTAAAATTTCTCATTAACCTTGAAACATACTTAAAACAAATATTATTTTAATTTGGATGGCAGCAAGCATTCCTTCCTGTGTGTGAAACAGGGGAAAGCCTCTTTTGTGATGTGCATAATCTAAGAATAGCATTTTATTTATTAATTACATTACTCAGATGCAGACTTTTGCAGAGCAGTCCGAAGCAAAATGGCACCCCTTGCCCATTGACTCCAGTGGACTTAAAAGGGTGAAACGCTGTTTAGGATTGCACCATAAATCAGTTATTTGATTAAAACTTGTATTCAACTGAGACTTTTAAATCTGGTATCAGCCTAATATGGAATAGTTTTGTGTTTCAGAGTTGGCTGTGCACTATTTGTGTTTGTCAGAGTGTAGCAACCTGCTCTGGTGGCAGATCTGGAGGTGGTATTAACAGACAGCACTGGCTATACATTGTTTTTCATCACCATGGGAAGAGTTGCATTTAGATTTTATTTTTGTGTCACCCAAACACCTTGAGCAGTCTCTGCCCCCTTCCTCCTCTCTTACTATGCAAATGAAATGGTAAGATTAACTTGAAGGATTTGACATTAGTCACAGTGGAGAAATGGGAATTCTATAAATTGACGTAGTAAATCTCTAATTACAGGACACGAGCACAGCCATTCACTGTTTAATGGAACTCTAAGTCATGGACACAGCCATGGGGGACACGGTCACAGTCATGAGTCCAAGCATGGGCACGGCCATTCCCATGACCACAACCACGGGCATGGATTCTCTCAGAGTAAGGACTACTGTCACGGTAAGCATGTAAAACAGAAGGCCCAGGTTTGTTCTACCATCTTTGCACTGATTAACATCTGTGTGGATCTGTTGCAAAAGCATAGAATGTTCAGTGTGCCAAGGTCTAAAAAAGCTCTATGAAAATACTTGGATTTTGTGTTCTAGCTACCAAATGTGTTTTCCTGCGAGTGTTATGTAATAAGTGTTATGTAATAAGATTCTTTATTGATTACTTTTCAAGAAAGTTCAAGGGGAAATGGAAACAAAAGAAATACCAAATTGTAGTTTTATATATAGTGTGTCTGCAAAACCCACTAAAATGATCAAAACTCTGATAGGGCTTTATATTTCTTAATCTCTACAGGCTGGACCTTCCTGTGGCATGGAAGGAAGGCTGTTGACCAGCCTTAAACATGTAAGGGTTCTTCTCTTTTCCGGAGGACAGTTACTCACCATGCTGCTGCTGCTTATTCACTGTGGGCCTTTGTTTTTAGGGAACTTAAATGCTGGTGTAGTCTGATTGGAATCTGGTTTGGGCTCCAGTGATATTACAGGACACTTTCCCTTGGAGTTCTGAGTGCTGGTTTTCAGGGCCTTGAATTTCACAATTTCTGGCTTTGTTTAACTCTTGGACTTTCAGCCTAGAGGCATTCTGTATTTAGATACCAGCCATTATCTGGAAATCCTGATATTGTGTTCATGATTGGCAGACAAAAAAAACCCTTTACCTTTGGCAGAACCTTTAATATTAGCTTTGTCCAAATCTCATTACCTGCTTTAAAAAAAAAAGGTGCCGTGGAAGTTACCTGTTTTGGGGGGCTTGTTGTGTTCTTCTCCACCTTTTAACTTCTTGTCTTTTCATCTATATTTTCCCATCTTTAACAAAAAAAAATAATCATTTTGTGGGGGTGTTGTATTTTTCATGAAGGGAATCTATACATTGTATAAGCAGCTGCTGAAAGTGTCAGAACTAAAGTCCGTCCACACTGAGAGGCTAAATAAACTTAACATTCTTGTTGTTTCTACAGATGATCACCCAGTTGAAGTGGCTACGGGGTCCAGCAAACAGATTTTAGAAGGTATGGCATGATGATTGCACATGTCATATTTCAGGTTTCAGTACATTTGTTGTTTAACAGCCATAGATGTGTGAACCTAAAATAATACATTTTATATTGAAATTACTTAATCAGGGTCAAACAAGCTTCTCATTTTGTTCAGCAATATTTACTTTAAATGTTAATGAATTAACAGATGCTTTGGTAAGTTATATTTCGCTGATCTAACTTGAAGTCTTTTTATTCTGAGTAACTTTCTGCCAGTGACAGCCTTGCCTTATCAAAATTAATGCATACACAAGTTAGTGATCTAATTTATTTGTTACCTTTTGCATATTCTTTTGTGAAAGCAAAATTCGGGTGGGTAGCCATGTTGGTCTGAAGCAGCAGAACAAAGTTTGATTCTGCACAAATATTTGTCTGAAGAAGTGTGGTTTTAAGGGTGCCATTGGACTCAAGCTTTGTTCTTTTGTGAAAGTAGTAAAAGAAATATTCAGTGGTTAGATTTCCAAAAGGAATATGAATGAGTACACAGTGAACTTGCAGAACTTACAGGAGAGTATGAGAGCTGCCACAGTAACCTTTTCAGACTTTATGCAAATATTTATATATTTATTTAATTGGGTTGTATGCTGCCTCCCCCCATTGGGTAATGAATTAGCGTTGGATAGTTAGGAACTACAGCAATATACCTTCTCCTGAAGACCAGTTCTCCATAGACACCTATGAAGAACATGAAGCAGTTGCAGGATGGAGCTCTTACAAGGATTGCGTGAAGTTGGCTCTGTGTATTTGAGAAGTTGCTGAATTCATGAAAGGGAATGGAAAGTGCTATGACTTTTGTGCCTGGATATATTGACCTGACACAGAATCTGTTGTTATTGAGCTTCATTATTTTATAGAGCTGACTCTTTCTTAATGCAGCAGACCGACTCCAGCATTTCTGAATTAATTGATCAGTAATTGGCTCAAGTGGTTAAGACTCTGACCTGCAGACCGGAAGGTTGGTAGTTTGGCAGTTTGGGACCTGAGTGCCGCATGACGGAGTGAGCTCCTGCCTCTGATCCCAGCTCCTGCCAACCTAGCAGTTCGAAAGAAAGAAAGAAATTGCAAGTAGATAAATAGGTACCACTTCAGTGGAAAGGTAACAGTGTTCCATGCACCTCTGTGTCTAGTCATGCCAGCCACATGACCACGGAAATGTCTTTGGACAGCGCTGGCTCTTTGGCTTGGAAATGGAGAGGAGTCGGATTTGACTAGCTTTCATGCAAGGGAAACCTTTACCTAATAATAATCTAGTCCTTTATCTGTAATAATTGATAGATTCTTTCTTCTTGCAGCTTCATGAGCTCCTTGTCAATAATGCATGGTTTGACAACAATAATGTGATATAAACCAGCGTGAATGTTTGGAGTTTCTGTATGATAACTGGATATTTTCTTTATAAGAATTTTCTAATTTGCTTTTCTATCATATGCCTGAAGAGGGTGCCACATTTCTTTTTGTACTTTATCTCATTCAGTTTATGGATTTTTTTTAACCTGTCGGTGCACAGTAAAGTAGGTTTTTTTTTTAAAACCCCAAAGGGGTATTTTTATTATTTTTCATAGACTGTTAACTACAACGAAAAATATAGGGAGGGGGGACTACATCTAAGGATAAAGGAAAGATACCCACACTAACTAAAAACCCAAGAGTAGGAGGTCCTTTCCATGTTAATATAAATGTTAGTAAGACAAGTGTTAGTGATACAATATACTTGTGACGTTCTTGTTTAACACATCTTCTACATTAGTAAGTTAATCTTTGTGAGAGTACTTCTTGAGGATCTTCTTTACTTCAAAGAGCAATTTACAGAGTCCTTCTGCCCTTACTTCGGTTTTCTATCCCTAAAGTCATATACAGTTTTCGTTGCTCCCGCTCCCGCTTCCCCCACAGAGTCCTCGTCCGTTCCTGAAGTAGCAGAGTCACTTGACTTGGATTTTAAGTTCTTCTTCCGGCCCGAGCTGACATCTCAAAAATTCCTTAGCTTTAAAGATGGAGTCAATCTTCTCTCTTTTGCCGTTAACTTTAAAAATTACACCTTCAGGAATCGCCTACCTGTACTGAATTCCATTAGTTTGAAGAAATGAGATCAGTTCCTTGTAACCTTTCCTCTTTCGACGGATTTCAAATGGGATATCCTTTAAAGTCTTTATGATTGTGTTCCCAATTTTCAGTGGATTTGCTGAAGTTGTCTTTAATACCGCATCTCTGGTCTGTCTTCTTGCAAATCTCACCACAATCTCTCCAGGCAGGTTATTTCTCCTAATATAATTGGAGTATGCCCTATAGGCAGCCTCCATGTCTTTTACTATTTCATCCGCTGATATACCTGTTACTGGAGCGATGATCTCTCCCAGAGTCTTCTTTAGATCCTTTTCAGGCACCCCCTGAAATCTGAGAGTCATGTTAGCTTTTTCCGTTAGAAGCTGTAACTCACAAGTTTCCTGTAGTTTTTGTACTGTTTCCACATCCATCACTCTTTTCTTCATCTTCCTATTTGCGATATCCATCTCTGTAATTTTTACAGTTGCATGCTCCACTTTCTCCTCCATTTCTGCCAGCTGTCGCTGCTGCAGAGCGAAATGTTGGTTCAGTGTGGCCAATTGCTGGTTAATACCACCGAGTTGCTCGATTACTGGCTTCAGCATATCCGCTAGCAACTTCATTACGTCTGCTCCCTCTTCCGGTCTTGGGCCCTGACTGCCTGATTTCGGTTTTAACTTTCCTTGGGAAGCCGCCATATTTTGCTTTGTTTACACTTCCAAACCGCTATGCCAGGACCCGAAAGACTCGTCGTTCCACTATAGGTACTCAAGTAAGTTTCTCAGAAAAGAATTCGCTGTTTGCTTCCCCCCTTCCCCCTTCGCTACGTTAGTCCATTCACGCACTTAGGAGGCATCCCTCCTTACGCACTGCTTTTCCCACGGGGGGTTACTCCGTTTTAGTAAAATAATCTGTTTATGTCGAACTCACGTTCATTGTTGGTCATAACTTGACCCTGCTCTCTTCATATGCTATTTCGCTCGATCTCCTGCGCTTGTCCCGGTTAGATTGGCTTGTACCCTAAGGTCACCCAGCCGGCTGGACCATCAGGGCGGAGGGAAGCCTCTATTCTCCGGCATCCAGCCGTCGAAGAGGCTAACCCTCAAAAGCCCCCCTGGCCTGGAACCCTTCACAAGGGCTCCATGGGGGTGCCACTTGAGGTGGCATCCCTCCAAACCGTGGGTGTGCTAGTCGCCTCCTCAGACATTGAGGAGAGCGACTGCCATCGCCGATCCACCCGCTGGAAGTCCCACAGTAAAGTAGTTTTATTGAAATTTCTATAACTTCTCTCTAATGATATAACATGTTAATGTATTATTCCGCTTATGTATTACAATATCTGTTTTCATCCTTTCCATAGTCACTTCAGAAATAAGAGAGATATTTTTCTTTCATGACTCAGTGGGTTGGATCCTATGAATTTGTTCTGCTTATGGTGGAGCCTTGTGCTGGAGGAAGACTCTGGTGGAATGGATTCATAGGGTCCACACTATATCATGGTATGTGCGGAACAGGATCAAGGGGGTGGTTTACAAGCCTGCCGGAAAAGAATTCCTGAGTTCTGCGTGTTGCTTATACCCACTACTACCAGCAGAGGGCTCCATAAGCTTAAAGTTTTGATAGCTGCAAACTGTTCTCTGGAGTTCTAGTGGCAACAGCCGGATTTGTATAATTTATTCATTTAAGAACTTGAGTAGTTCATTTGGCAAAGGCATTTACAGCTAGTATTGGCAGCACTTAAAACACAAGACCTTACAGCATTTTCCAGAACTTCCTTCTGATAAAATGTCTTTCTATTCAGCAGGTCAAATCTTTTGGCTTGCCTGCTATGGTGTATGTGTAACCACATAAAAACCTTACAGTTTCTAATATAATAATTTGGCAAGACAAATGTTAACCACACCCCTGCTACTGATTAGAAATAGGGGGGGCAGGAATCTCTCATTGTGTGGAAGGTGCTGTATACGGTCTCTATTCATGTGGTTGGAAAGAGAACTGTGGTTCTTCTGTGCACCATTCAGGTTAATCTGCACAGCTTCCAGTATCAAATGTTGGCAATGCTATTGTGGGATAAGTAGCCAGATAGACATTGTTCTCATGGTTGGGGCTTCTGATGCCCCCTTTGGAGTGTGGGAAGGAAATACGTTGTAGCAGCTCCTACACCGTAAACAGAACATCAGAAGGGATCATAGACTATACATAGTTATGTAAACACAGTGGTAAACATTTGTCAAGTAACTGGCTATCTCTTGCCATTCTAAATGTCACTGTTACTTAACTGAAAGGCCAGCTTTTTTTTTTTACTCACCTGTTTTGATCTTGCATATGCTTTCTTTTAGGTGTATTTTTACACATTGTTGCTGACACACTTGGAAGCATTGGGGTAATTATATCAGCACTACTGATGCAAAACTATGGCCTCATGATAGCTGACCCTGTCTGTTCAATGCTGATAGCCCTGCTTATAGGAGTGAGGTGAGTAATGCTGCAGGTGATTAAGCCCTTTCCAGGTACAACCCTGTAGGGTTTGCAATCTTAGTAGGCACCACAGATTTCATTAGCGATCTCTATTAACTTTGGCAACAACTGCTCCTTTTAATTGTTTAGCTTATTCCCATTTTGTATTATTGTGTTTACATGGCTAGTACCATTTCCCCAGTCAGCAGCCGGTTTGGTTCATACACTTTGTAAAAAGGCCCTTCCGGTCCACCTTGCGAAACATCTTTTCTGTGTTGTGTGTGCTGATATGAACCAATGTACTGTACTACTAAATGAAGCAGAATGCCCTCCAATTCAGCAGAGTCCAGACTCCTGGCACATAGTGTAGCCTGTTTGTTATCAAGCTAAGCTGTCAGACTTCTCATGGAAGGCCGCTCATTATCTGTGTATCTGTATTTATGCAATGAGGTGTCCTGCTGTTTTGGTGCAACTTGTCAAGTTAATTTTTTAATGTATTCCGCATTGCAAGGAGTTGGAAGGATTCAGCTCCAGAAACTAGAGAAAGCTTTTAAGTATCACCTGCTTTCCTGTTGTTGTTGCTTTTAGAGAGCACTGTGAACAGAAGTTGACAATGCTATGTGCAAGATTTTTAGCCTCATGGAGCACTTTTTTGAGCTGTACATAATTTTTTTTTTTTTAAAATGGCTGAGTAACTAGATGGACACATGAAGTTGCCATAAGCCGAATCATATCATTGGTCTGTCAAAATCCATAGTGTCTAATCAGACTGGCAGCAGCTCTCTAGGACCTCAGTTCAGGGTCTTTCGCATCACATACGACTTGACCCTTTTAATTGGAAATGCTGCAGACTGAACCTGGAACCAAGCTGATGGCTCTCACACAGACCTTTGGCCCCTCCTGATGTTTCTGAATGAAGCCATTAAACTAAGTCCTCTAGGCAAGATAATTAAGAAAGCTGTTGTGGACATTGGGTGGGGTCCTATGACTCCCTTCTGCTACGCTGGATCCTGTGACTCTCTTTCCTCAATAAGGAATGGCCTTTTCTGATGGAGAAAAATCTGCTTGTTGAACAAACTCTTTTCCTGTTGGAGGAGGGCTTTGTTGAAGGGAGGCATAGGCTCCAGCCCTTGGATTAGAAATTTGCCTTCTGTAAAGGTAATATGGAGGCACTCCCTTTGTAAATGTAAAAAAAAAGTTCTCTCCTACAAGCAGGTTATTTTGAAAGCTTGGCCTAAGGAAGAGTTCCATCCAACTCAAAAGGGTCCGTACTGCATTATAAACATTGGCTGTTTCTATGAAAGATGGTTCCTGCAGTTCCTGCAAGTTTTTAGGTATTAGATGAACACACTAGAAGCTTCATGGCACAACTTTATACTCTTTATGTTGCAGTTGTCAACAGTATATCTCCGTAAATGACTCAGTACTAGTGGTGCTTGTAAAGATAAATAGCAGAAAAATTATAGATAGAATACTGTGTAATTTTTGCCGGCTGTTCTTTTACCTGTACTTGTTTATTACCAACATAAAATTTTGCCTAAATTTAAAGTCTGCATTTTCAGGTGGCCAAGATAATACTCTTATTTCTCACCCAATGTAGTTTTATAAATACATTTTGCCATAAGTCTGCAGTTGGTCAAGTTAGCCATTATTAATTCTTTTAAGGTATTATATAGTGACGTGATTGAAGTTTTGTTGTATGTGCCAATATTTTTTTTACCAGTGAGGTTTACACTTCTAAACCATAATTACTTTTGGCAGTCCTGACTTTTTTTGCTTGTAATACACCTATAAGAAATTGTAAAATAGGGCATGGTTGAGTGATTTCTGGTTGATTTTCCATTGCTGTCTACATGAGTTCAAGAGCTGCATGTGGCTAGCAGACTGGCATTGCGTTTGACCTCTCTCCCCCATCCGTGCATTGGATGTCACACTTGATTAGGACCTAAATGCATAGATCTCTGTATGCATCACCCTGAACCATGCAGTCTAGAAGCTTCAGTTTTGTGGTGCACACATTACTCTGCTCAGGCTTATATGCATGCTCTCTGACATCTAGTGGAGCTACTGGGTAGTGGTATACTTGACTTAGCATGCTCTGTTTCAAATAAAAATCAGACATGGCTTGTCTGTTGGGTGGCCTTGAGCAGAATAGCTTCGTTTGTCAGTCTGTAAATAGTGGAATATAATTTCTGAGAATGGAAGAAATAATAGCTTCGTTCGTCTGTCTGTAAATAGTGGAATATAATTTCTGAGAATGGAAGAAATAAGAGACATTACAGCTGTTTGGGAAGGGGAGGAAACCTATTGTAGATGTGCTTTTTGGAGAGGAAAGGAAGCAAACTTGTGTGAAGGCCCCATGGATGGCTGCTTTTGCCCCTTGAAGTGAGTGCCATGGCCTGGGGCAGTACAGACCACAGAATTAGGGAAATCACTTTGGTCTGTGATGAGTTGTGTAAAATTTATGCTCTTGCGGGTAAGATCTAAATCACGTTGACACAGGTGGCCTTCAGTGATTCACAGTGCCCCTGAGTTGTTTGCACTTTGAAAGAAACTGTAGGGCTTGCAGCTAGTAGCAGCAGCACGGAGCTGATGGCTTCATTGACACATGGATCACGTTTTTTTGGGTCTCTTAAAAGAGAAGTGTCAGCATAAATACACTTTCGAATCAACCCCTTGTTTTCGTTGTGGAGTGCACTATCATTGCTTTGGCTTGATGCCAGGTTCAAGTGATATGCTGTGCAGCACTATCTGACAACGTATCTACAGTGAGTATATCCTGTGATGCAAATTATGATGAGGGGTCTTGAAAGAGTCTAAATATTAGTCTGAGGCTTCCAATTGTATAAATAACTTTTGTGTAATAAAAAAACACATGAAAGAGGTTTCTAGCCCCATAAAGGCTTAACAGGCTCATCGTGACACAGGTTTTCAATGGGCTAGAGTCAGTTTCATCAGAGGCATGAAGTCATATCCTCAGCTGACACACAGAGGAAGAAAAATTGTAAATAGAGTAGAACATATATTGAAATGCAAGGGATAGCAGCAGGTTGTCTGCTCTGGGGTTTTAGAGGCAAGCATAGCTTTGCAAATAAGCCTACAAATGGTGATGCTTTATACATTTTTACTAGTGGACGTAGCCTAAAAGAACTAGCTTTTGTACAGCTTCTCTGCCTGGTCACATGGAAACAATTCTCAACGATCCTAGGTGAATAGGAAACACCGTTTTGCCCAGGCAAGCGTCTGCAAAGGAATATGAAGCGTAGAAGCTCTCAGTCTCTGCATACTTTGGCAAAATGTGGCTTGTTAGACCTGGGGCTAGGAATGTAACATTTATGTACAAGATATTGCTCACAATACAAAAATGGAATGTTGTAAGTAGTACGCTATGCAGAAACTGAAGTAACATGGGAGACATTTCTGGTGTGGGTAAACTAGCTTTTGTCTGATGCAAGCCCAACTAGCTGTATCGGATTGCTTCAGGCTGGTGAAGAAATGTATTTCTTGCTGATTGACTGTTCCTTGCAGTGCCCATTATTAGAATTATGTGTTTGCTTGTCATAGGATCATTTTGGGGCAGCAGACTATCTAGAGACATGCCTATTTCTGGCTGGGTCTTCTGTTAGCTTTCTGTAACTTACCCCATTCCATTTTAAACATCTGAAGGAAGAATTACATACTGTAGGTTTAATTGAGCTTAACTATTTTATATTTCTCCTTCATGGAGACTCCTGGAATTGAGTTTGTCCGGATGCATGAAATATAACAGAGACTGAAAAAATTAGCACCTGACCAAGGGGCTCCTTGGTCAGGCTTGCGAGACTTGATGCCTCTTGGAGTACGAGCACTGAATTAGTAACATTGGTCCCTTTTTAGCCTTACAGAATCAGTTCACATGTGGCTCAGTTGTGTAGTCTCTCCATCTGATGGGGGAGAGTGAATCTTGGGTTTTGTGCAATCCTTCACTGTATGTACAATGTTAAGGGTGAGCTGAAACCAGCACACGCAATCTGGGGAAGGAGGAAGTGTGTCAGAACCAATTTCAGCATGGCTGTGTTTTATGCTGTATATATTTTCTTTAAATTGATAAAAGGCATTTGTTCAGGCTGGTCAGGTGAATGTTACAGATGGTTCCAAAAGCAGAATGAAATCGGAGTCGACATCCCATTGGGGAATCTGGTTAACTAGTAATGTATGGTGCCAGACATACTGCACTTTTGTTGCATGTCAAAAGTATGTGTGTGTATTGTGGACTTACAAATTAATAGAGCTGAATGTAGCATACTGCACAGTTGAAACTAAAGCTTTTCCTCTTGAAGATGTCTAAGAAGGGGAAAAAGTTGACTGTCTTAATGCAGATTCCTGATTCTTTTGTTCAGATGTTTTAAACATTCAAACAACTGCTGTAAATAGGCAGACAACTGCATCTGCCTTTTGGCTGTTATCACATGTAGAATTTTGCATGAAAAATATAGTTGCATTTAAGATAAAGGTATCTATAGAAACACCCCACCCCAAGCTAATTGCTTTTCAGTACTCTCCTCTGGCTTGGTGATATGGAATTGTGAACTTCTGTACCAGAAAGTAGCTTTTAATCTGCTACAAACCCCATAATGACTTATGCAAGCATGCATTTTCCTCAAGATAGAAACAGATATGCTTTCAAACCGCAGCCAGCAAATATGTGTGTTGGTTGTATTGAAATGCAGAGAATTCACTGCGTAGTGCAGAGTAACCGTCGCCAAGAGTACTCATGGAAACCGCTCTTTAGGCCACAATGGTGATGGGGGAATAGCAAAGACTGAAACACAATGCTCAATCTGGAAGGGCATGTTGGCTGCATATTAAGTGGGGAGCACGGTAAATGTTTTACTGATGGCTCAGTGGTGACACACACTCCTGATCGGCTAAGATGGGGAAGAGATCCCACAGAACGAGACTTTTATCTCAAATTGCTGTTTTCCTTCCCTAGTTCTTTGCAGTGCAGTGTGTTTCAGCTGTCGTGCTGAATCATCGCA